AAGCCTACAGGCTACATTACTTCGAGTTCGAATCACTCACTCGACTAATAAGCCTACGGGCTACATCACTTCGAGTTCGAGCAAGCACTCACTCGACTATTAAGCCTACATGCTACTATTATTTCGAGTGTGAGCAAGCACTCACTCGACCATTAAGCCTACGGGCTACATTACTTTGAGTTCGAATAACTCACTCGACTACTAAGCCTATGGGCTACTCTTATTTTGAGTTCAAGCAAACACTCACTCGACCATTAAGTGTACGGGATACATTACTTTGAGTTTGAATCACTCACTCGACTAATAAGCCTACGGGCTACATTACTTCGAGTTTGAATCACTCACTCGACTAATAAGACTACGGGATACATTACTTCAGTTTGAATCACTCACTCGACTACTAAGCCTACGGGCTACTCTTATTTCGCGTTCGAGCAAATACTCACTCGACCATTAAGCCTACTGGCTATATTACTTCGAGTTCGAATCACTCACTCGACTAATAAGCCTACGGGCTACATCACTTTGAGTTCGAGCAAGCACTCACTCAACTACTAAGCCTACGAGCTACTCTTATTTCGAGTTCGAGCAATCACTCACTCGACCATTAAGCCTACGAGATATATTACTTCGAGTTCGAATCACTCACTCGACTAATAAGCCTACGAGCTACATCACTTCGAGTTTGAGCAAGCACTGACTCGACTACTAATCCTACGGGCTACATTACTTCGAGTTCAAATCACTCACTCGACTAATAAGCCTATGAGCTACATCACTTCGAGTTCGAGAAAGCACTCACTCGACTACTAAACCTACATGCTACTATTATTTCGAGTTCGAGCAAGCACTCACTCGATCATTAAGCCTACCGGCTACATTACTTCGAGTTCGAATCACTTACTCGACTACTAAGCCTACGGTCTACTCTTATTTCGAGTTCGAGCAAACACTCACTCGACCATTAAGCCTACGGGCTACATTACTTCGAGTTCAAATCACTCACTCGACTACTAAGCCTACGGGCTACTCTTATTTTAAGTTCGAGCAAACACTCACTCGACCATTAAGCCTACGGGCTACATTACTTCGAGTTCAAATCACTCACTCGACTACTAAGCCTACGGGCTACTCTTATTTTAAGTTCGAGCAAACACTCACTCGACCATTAAGCCTACGGGCTACATTACTTCGAGTTCAAATCACTCACTCGACTACTAAGCCTACGGGCTACTCTTATTTTAAGTTCGAGCAAACACTCACTCGACCATTAAGCCTACGGGCTACATTACTTCGAGTTCAAATCACTCACTCGACTACTAAGCCTACGGGCTACTCTTATTTTAAGTTCGAGCAAACACTCACTCGACCATTAAGCCTACGGGCTACATTACTTCGAGTTCAAATCACTCACTCGACTACTAAGCCTACGGGCTACTCTTATTTTAAGTTCGAGCAAACACTCACTCGACCATTAAGCCTACGGGCTACATTACTTCGAGTTCAAATCACTCACTCGACTACTAAGCCTACGGGCTACTCTTATTTTAAGTTCGAGCAAACACTCACTCGACCATTAAGCCTACAGGATACATTACTTATAGTTCGAATCACTCACTCGACTAATAAGCCTACGGGCTACATCACTTCGAGTTCGAGCAAGCACTCACTCGATTACTAAGCCTACAGGCTACTCTTATTTCGAGTTCGAGCAATCACTCACTTGACCATTAAGCCTACGGACTACCTTACTTCAAGTTCAAATCACTCACTCGACTATTAAGCATACGTGCTACCTTATTGTGAGTTCGAGCAATCACTCACTCGACCATTAAGCCTACGGGCTACATTACTTCGAGTTCAAATTACTCACTCGACCTTTAAGCCTACATGCTATATTACTTCAAGTTAGAGCAATCACTCACTCGACTACTAAGCCTATGGGCTACCTTATTTCGAGTTTGAGCAAGCACTCACTCAGTTATAAAGGGTACAAGGTTCAAATTAGATCAAATTGCCTAAAGCCTTATGAAAACCTTCGTAAGGCATGAATGAAACAAAATCTTCACAAGATAGAGAATAAAACAGAGGCAAGTTGGGAAAATAAAAGATCTTTATATATATACAAGAATGTTTACAATGTCCGAACAGGACCCTACAAAAAAACCAAAATGAAAACTAAGGGCTAAGTTTCTTGGTTATCTACGGGGGCAGTCTCTTCTTCATCGGGCTCCTCCCCGCTCTCGGACCCACTCTTTCTCCCATCATCACCATCATCACCATCACCATCACCATCATTGGAAGCCAAGGCTTTAACATCGGTTTCGAGCTCTTTAGCCCTTTTTATCTCTTCGGTGAGATTGAAACCTCGAGCATGGATCTCCTCGAGGGTCTCCCTCCGAGATCAGTATTTAGAAAGTTCAGCAACCCAATGTGCTCGAGTGTTGGCAGTCTCGGCTACCTCTCTTGCTTGTACCTGAGCAGCTTCAGCATCGACCCGATAGACGGCCACAAATGCATCCGCATCGGCCTTTGTCTTTTCAGCATCAGATTTGCCCCTGACAAGTTCGGAGGCTAACCAAGCCTCGAGCTCCTCTATTCTTCTTAATTGAACCGAGCTTTTCTCCTTTATGCTTTGAAGTTGGTTTTCGGCCGATGATAATTGGGATCAAGCAGTTTCTTTTTCTGTGGCAAGACGGTCCATGCCATCTTTCCATCCCAAGGTCTCCGCCCTTATCATATCGATCTCCTCACGAAGCATCCCAATAACCTCAAGCTTCTGCTACAGCCGTGAGATCAAAATATTATCCACCGTTCTAGAATCGAGCCCATGGGTTTTTAAGATTACCATTACCTGCTCGGTCAGGTCGGTCTGGTCTTGTTGAGCCTTGGACAATTCAGCTCGGAGGTCCTTGATTTCTTCTTCCCTTTGTCCGAAGAGGAGTCTAAGGACGTTCCTCTTCTCCGTGACCCATCGGAGGTCGGCCTCATATCGACGCGGCTCAGCTCGAGACCGAGAACATGCTTATTGATTAACCGTTGCGGCCTACGAAGAAAGAAGAAAAGAAGTTAGAAAAGAATAACAAACATGAAAGTGGTATCAACGAAGGGAGCTAGAGCTTACCCGATTTAGAGCTTGTTGCACTTCAAAGAAAAGGCCCGACATATCACTAGGGCCAGTAACATCCTCGATATTAGTAAACAAATCACATAAGGGATCCTCCTTTTCATGAGATCGGTTTATCTCGAGGGCCCCCAAAGCTTGGGCTTCCCGAATCGCCCCTTCGAAAAAAGCAGGGAGAGTGGGCGAGTCTCCGATTACTATTGCCCCAAGCGACCCGCTTGGGGCGTTCTCCTCAGTTCGGAGAACTTCAGGACCAGCCCCGTCTGATATACCCACCGTTTGGTGACTTCGGTGGGAAGCATCCTCGATTTTAAACGATTTAGGGGACTCTGCCCGAACCTTCCTTCGATATCTCCTCAGTCCGAGGTGGAGCTTTATAAATCACCATCGATTCAGCTGCCTTTGGGGCATCGGTGGTTTTATTCACTCGGGCCACCAACACGGACACGTCATTTTCTTCTTCTTCTTCTTCTTCTTCTTCTTCTTCTTCTTCTTCTTCTTCTTCTTCTTCTTCTTCTTCATCATCCCTTAGACGCAGAACTGATACTATGGTCAAAGGGATGGTATTCTTTCTCCGCTTATGATCCATCCTCGTCTTCGATTTTGGATCTTCGGAAGCGGAGGCCCTTTTCTCTTATTATTCTTCACCGATTTTGGAACTGAAGCCAAAGACTCTTCCTCAATGGACAGGGGCCTCAAACCCGCATCTTTTCTTAGGCCTACATAAAAGAAAATTGATTTAAGTATATGGAGAGAATCTCGTTCGAACTATCAAAGATACAAGAAAAAGGCTTACCATAATTTTTGGCCTCCCATCGGCCCTTTGACAAATCACGCCATGAGCGCTTGGTATATGTAGAGGTCAAAGCTAGACCTTGTACCCAGTTCTTGAGGTCAGGAACTACACCGGGCTCAGAAGGAGAAAGTCTTGATGAGCAGCCTTGAGCTTAATTTAACAAATTTCCCTGCCCTGGGCCCTATATCATCTTCTAATAATGTGTCAGCAAAAAAAAGGAAAAAGTGTGAGTCTTACACTACCTCATGATAAAGGAGGTGGCTCCAAACCTTCATTATGAATTGGCTTTTTTGGAATGTTAAAGGTATGAATAAGAGGTATAAACAAAAGAAGTTGAGAAATTACTTAAAATAAAGAACATTAAGCTTGTTGGAATAGTTGAAACAAAAGTTTAATCGCCCAAAGCTAAACAAGTATGGAATAATATTGCCCCTTGCTGGGGATTAGAAAACAATTACCAGAAGGCTGTGAATGGGAGAATGTGGTTACTATGGGACAAAAATCTATATGAGGTATCTGTATTGAAGGTGGAAGCTCAATTTTTACACTGTCATGTCAAGGAGAGACAAAGGCCTTTAGATTGTATAGTTATAGTAATATATGGCTTTAATGCAATTGAACATAGAGAAGTTATGTGGCAAGGATTGAAACAGGTTGCATTTGGAGTTCATGTTCCCTGGTTGATTATAGGAGACTTCAATGCTATGCTCCTCCCTCAAAATAGGATATTTGGGAACCCAATTACCTATGCAGATATCAAAGCCTATTCCGAGTGTATTACTGATCTTCTACTGTTTGAATTATAATGGAAATGTGAGTATTATACATGGTCAAATAAGCAGAGTAGTGCTGAGAGGGTCTATAGCAGAATAGATAGAATATTTGATAATCATGAATGGATGTTACAATGGGGGCATGTAGTAACTGGAACTTCCTCTCATCTCTGATCATTCTCCTATGATATTGTCCCTCAAAACTAAGGCTAGAAACATCAATGTCCCATTCAGATTCTTTAATGTATGGACTAGTCATCAGGATTTCCTGCCTATGGTGCAACAAAGTTGGGAGCATAAACTAGATATGTGGCCTATGAAGAATATATGGTTAAAGCTTAAGTTGCTTAAACCTTTGTTGAAGCAGCTGAACAATGCAGAATTCAAGAGTATTTCTCAAAAAATTGTCCTACCTCGAGAGGAACTGCAACTAAGTTGGGAAATGATAAATGCTCAATGTACTGACCAGCTCTTGGGAAAAGAGAAAAGAATCTTGCTTGATTTAGAGAAATGGTCACTTGTGGAAGAAAGTTCTCTTACGCAAAAAGCTTGTGCAAAATGGATAAAATTTGGGGATGCCAATACCAAGTATTTTTTAGCTTTGGTTAAGGAAAGAACACAAAAGAAGCAGAAATTACATCCTACATCCCTTACTGGTGCACAACTGACTGATCCTCTAGATATAAAGGAGGAAAATATTTCTTTCTATAAATCCCTTATGGGTACAACTTCCCCTTCAATCCCAGCAGTTAACAGACTCATAATGATGAAAGGTCCAACCCTCTCTCAACAACAAAGAAGGGAGTTATGTGATGATATTACTGACCAAGATGTATGGTCTGGATTATAGGCCATAGAGGATGACAAAGCTCCAGGTATTTATGGGTACAACTCTCATTTCTTTAAACAAGCTTGGCCAATACTGAAGGATGAGGTGACTCTGGCAGTTAAACATTCTTTGCATCGGGGAAAATGTTTAAAGCTATTAACTGCACTACGATCACTTTAGTTCCAAATAATTCTAGTCCTCTAACAGTAAATAAGTATAGACCAATTGCTTGTTGTACTATATTGTATAAGATCATAGCAAAAATCTTGGCTGCTAGGATTCAAAATGTTATGCCTAGTATCATCCGTGATGCTCAGACAGACGTTATTTCCAGGAAGGACAATCTATGATAATATTATATTTGCCTATGAAATAATCAAAGATTATGAAAGGAAAAGTGCATTTCCCAAATGTATGGTGAATATTGATTTGCAGAAAGCCTATGATTCAGTAGAACAACCCTATTTGAAGCAGGTTATAAGTGAATTGGGGTTCCCTGACAGTTTTATCTCTTGGATAATGGAATGTGTACGAATTGTGAATTATACTGTGATGGTAAATGGGGAAACTACAAAGCCATTTGATGCTGCTAAGGGATTGAGACAGGGTGACCCCATTTCTCCTTATCTATTTTCAATGGCTATGGAATATTTGAGCAGGAAGCTACATGAACTTAGGGACGACAAATCCTTTAACTTCCACCCCAAATGTGCCAAATTAAAGATCGCCCATCTGAGCTTTGCAGATGATTTATTGTTATTTTCTAGAGGTGACCTGAAGTCAGTTAATGCACTTCACCAAGCTTTTAAACAGTTCTTAGAAGCTTCAGGGTTACAAGCCTATCTACACAAAAGCTCTATCTAGTTTGGCGGAGTTGATCAGGTGGAGAGAGATAGAATTGTACATAAGCTTGGCATTCCTGTTGGTGAGTTACCTATTAGGCATCTGGGAGTTCTCCTATCCACTAAAAAGATCTCCTTTATTCAATAGCAACCTCTAATAAAGAAAATAGTGGCCAGAATTACCTCCTAGACACTAAAGAAACTCCCTTATGCTGGGAGAGTTCAACTGGTGAAATATGTTCTTTTTGGAGTCCAATCATTTTGGTCTCAGCTATTTCAAATACCAGTTAAGGTCCTTAAACTGACTGATGCATATTGTAGAAGTTTTTTGTGGTCAGGCACTGAAACTATTACAAAAAAGGCCCTTGTCTCTTGGGAAAAAATGTGTTTGCCCAGAACTTTTGGAGGATTAAACCTCCTTAACATAAGGATCTGGAATAGAGTTTCTCTAGCTAAGACACATTGGGACCTTGCTCATAAAGATGACAAATTATGGATCAAATGGATCCATGAGTTCTACCTCAAAGGCCATCCTCTTACCACAACTAGAGTTCCCCAACAAGCTTGTTGGATCATGAGGAAAATCTTGGAAGCTCAACAGACTTTGTTGCAAGTGCAGATAAGAAAGGGGCCAGTTAGCCTGACCAAACAAATTTATGAGCAGTTTCTACCTAGTTAACCTAAAGTACCCTGGAAATGTGTGATGAACAAGAATGATGCTAGACATAAGGCCAGATTCATCATGTGGATGCAACTACAATACAAGTTTCTCACTACTGATAGGCTACCAAAATGGGGCATAACTGTTGACTTAGAATGTGTTATGTGCCATACTCAACCTGAAAGTAGAAATCATTTGTTCATGGACTATGATTTCACCAGAGCAGTGTGGAATAGGATTCTCATATGGATTCAGAAGAAGGTAGGGCCAAACACTGGATGGGATTAACATGTAGCTTGGATAATCCAGAATGCAAAAAGGAGGACTCAACAAGCTCACATATTTAGAAATGTCATGCAGAATGTGTCTATGCCATTTGGATGGAGAGAAATTATCACGACCCAAACTGATAGGCCGTCACGGACACCCAATACTTTACTCAACCGAGTACCAATGTAACGTATATTTCATATCATACTATCATAGGTAAATGAGCCGGAGAGGTTGTCGTGAGATAAGTAGAATAAAACATGAGGAAATACTCAATATAGGGTGACCCAACTTGATATATCGACTTATAAATATGGCATACTGGCCTATAAGGTTATACCAATATCCGTATACATGACATCTGTCTACAAGCCTCTAAGAGTACATAAATATCATAAAGGTCAGGACAGAGCCCCGCCATTCCAAATCATACACATCTAAATCATACCGACCAATCAAGCAACTCCGGAGAGAATGAAGTGCACCAATATCTTATGCTGAGCTGATCGCCTACTTGGAGGACTCTCGACCTGTCTATCGAGACTTGCGGGCATGAAACGCAGCGTCCCCAGAAAAAGGGAGGTCAGTACAAATAATGTACCGAGTATGTAAGGAATGAAAATCAGTAAACAATAGACATGAGAAAAACATGGAGTAAAAGGCTCAACATGTATGTCTGAATAACTCTGTGCATCATTAATATTTACAATGCCGTGCATATACGTATAAATATCATACCATGTTTAGGTATATGCATTCATAACATCATCAAGCCTCCGAGGGCATCCCATCATATCATCTCGGCCACTGTGGGCAAATCATCAACGTATACAAGCTGATCATATGGTGGTGCATATATAACGCCGTAACCTTTTCCCATATCCCATATTCATATAATATACGCGTATATAACGCCTTCTAGTCATGGGTCAATATACATGTATAAGTGCACGAAATGCATAAGAAATACGTTAATAAGATTTCTCGAATATCATAAAATCAATATGCCTTTCGGACAAACTTTTATCAAATACATTTTTTTCTGAGACCCATGAATAGAGGATATAATAATTATTCACATAGGGAATCAATAATATAGACACCACTAGTATTTCTATGAATAGAGTCATTTATGAAAGTTGCGTATTTTGCTCATTTCGTTTGTATCATTTGGATCATGCCAAAAAGAAAGAAGGAATAGCCTTAACATACATGGATAGATTCTCTTGACAATTCCTCTAACACGCGTCTATTGCAACAACACGTAATGGCGGATCAAAGTAGGAAAATATTCGTATGATATTCTTGAAAAAGATTGTTCCGTACTCCCTTAGAATCGCAAAATTCTGTTGCTGTTACGCAGAATAATTTCGTATGAAATTCTTGCTTAAGATAGTTACCTTGCTGAATTTTTTTAATCCTTCTCTCTTAATGAATTTGATTACAATATTGGATAACTTTTCTTGCTGAAGCTATCCGTCACTTTGAAACAATCTCGTATGAATTTTTGACGTAACTCACGTTGCCATTCAAATTCACATGATGTCTCTCTNACAATCTCGTATGAATTTTTGACATAACTCACGTTGCCATTCAAATTCACATGATGTCTCTCTTTGAATTTGAGAAGTTTCTTTGAATTTGAGAAGTCTCTTTTGATAGGTAACTCACGTTGCCATCAACATCTGTAAAGGATTCATGTGAATTCCTTCTTTGACAAATTCCATCCGTTGCTTTGTAGTAAGCATCTCAATATTATAATTTAGAGAAGCTTTTTATATTAGTGGTGTGGTCCCCACTTGCATAATGACTAAGCCACCCAAAATTCACCTAACTTTGTCATTTTGCAACATAATTCATGAGTCATTAATTATAGTGATGGGCTGCCACGTAAATGGTTATAAGGCTTATCCAAAAATCATCCACTTAATTCCTTAATCAACTCATTAATCTCCTGCTAATCCAATAATCTACATAATTAAGAATTATCTCAAATTACTTAAAATACTACTCATTTTTAACATACCTCATACATATTACTATCATAGTCATGTGGTACCTTGTATGGTACTAGTCCATAAATACCGGATATTTTAGCTCGGTCCGTATTTTATCCCAAAATATCAAATTTCGACGAAACGCATTTTCTTTGATTCATTTACCCTTTCACCTTCATGAATTTACTCATTATTTGTTTGAAATTGCCTAATACTTATAATTTCCAAATAATCTTGTCCTTGAACTGATGTCAATTATCTTACGACAAATTCAAAATACAATACTATAGGGTGTAACATCGTCATAACAAATTACTGCGGAGCGTAGCACCGTCGTAATAAATTACTGCGGAGCGTAACATCGTCGTAACAAATTACTGCAGAGCGTAACACCGTTGTAATAAATTAATGTGGAGCGTAACATCGTCATAATAAATTACTGCAGAGCGTAACATCATCGTAATAAATTACTATGGAGCGTAACATTGATGTAATAATGTTAGGCGTAACATCATTCCCCCCATTGGAACATTTGTCCTCAAATGTTGACTGATGCATTTATTAATTTCATAACCTATAATTCTTGCGAATGCTTTAGTACTCTTCTTGCCAACTAGGCAACTGTTCTGTCAATAAATCCAAGGGTCAGGGCATTCCCCACTTTAAGCCTCTTTCTCATACCACGACTTGTGGTAGGAATCCTTTCAATCCCGTAACTGTTGTTACCTTATATCATGCATCATGTACGATTCTGACCTTGTAAATGTGCCTATGCAACTCTTCTCTCCTTTTTCCTCTAGATTTTAACCAATCTCTAAGCCTCACTTTGTAAACATATACAGAGCTTGATAAGATATCCCTCTGGGCATCTATAAGTACACCGAAGTTCTCTGCTCGGTACTTTGTTGAATTTAAGAATATTGTTATATCTTATTTCATATACATCTCTTGACTTTGTTATGCCTTGAGAATAGCGAGGACTTTGGTTGTGATGCTTAGGCTCAGTTTTTGACTCGTGTATAAGTACCTCAAATTGTATAGGCTTAACTTTGCTTAACTGCTTTGACTAGAGTGTCTTAATGAAACTAATCCTGAGTGAGTTATGTGTCATGTGTGTGTGAGATTTGGGTGTTATTCCGTGCATTACATTTGATGCCTAGAACTTGCCCCGTGTGTTTGCAAAGCGAAATAGTAGTTTTGTTCAGTCTTGGAAGTGATATAGGCATTTCTTTGTTGAGCCATATATATATTTTACCCGCCTAATTATTATGTATCGTAGTTAACCCATTTGAGCCTGTAATTCTGTTTCTTTGGTAACCATATTACAAGCCTTACCCATTTGTTTGAATTAACCATCTATTTGAACCTTCTAACCTCTCATGAGCACTTGAATTATTATGAACTGTGTAAAAGTTAAAGTGTGGGATGGATGGTTTGGCTTTTGAGTGGAACTAATGAAATAAGGAGAAAGGTGCACTGTTTTGAAAAAGTAAGAGCCACTTGAATTGAAAAAGAAAGAAAAGGAAAAAAATAGTTGTATTGCTGTGAAAAAGAATTATTCCTTGATAAATGGTGACTCTTGATGTAATTGTGCTTAAAGAAGTATGGGGTAATATACATTGATGTGAAGGTAGAGTTTGGTTTGACATAAGTATGGGGTTTGAATGTTAAAGTATATGTATTAAAGTGCTTAGGGAGGTGTAGTCACTCTTATATCTAAATGTATCCTACCCGTCCCGAAGCCTGCATTACAACCAAATAAAGTCCTACTTGATCCTAGACTGAATGAGCTCGATTAGTAGAGTAGTACACTACAGACAAGCCTATGGTGCATATTTTGTGGCATATAAATGTTATTTGTGGATTCGACTCCGGACTTTTAGACCGAATTATATTTGCAACGACCGCTTATCCTTTTTAGGACTAGAGTTGGGCGTGATCAAATTTTGGCGCCGTTGTCGGGGAACTAACAGTGTAAATGTAGGTGTATGTAGTTCTAGGTTGCAAGTTTGAGCTTTTATTTTTGATTTCTTGTCTCTGATTATTTTTTAAATTTTTATTTTTGACTTGAGAGACATGGCATCTTGGAATTAT